GCTGAATCTAAGTATACTTTTTTAATAGATGTAAAGAGGCTTTTCCATTGGCACAACGTTAAGACCTATCGAGGAAAAAAAAACGATTTTTTTTACAAAGACCAATTTAACTTCAAGATCTTACACTTTTATTTACGAGTACCTGGCGATGCTGGGTGGGAATCTGTCTCGTCCTTTTCTTATCAGAAAATTTCAATCATTATTTTCTTCCTGCGTTGATGACCCCTGACTTTACACTTGATTAAGTTTCAAGGTTACGATGCACTCGCTATTAGGATTCTGCCTCTCCGGGTTCCTTTCTTCATCACCTCTGGCCTTGGTAAGGGCAAACCTGCACAGACATCAGGTGGTATAGGACTGATTAAGAAAGGAGGTTGTAGTTTTCCTTTTAATTGGCGGGAAGAGCCTGGCCTAAAGACGACCTTTACCTCAACAAGGGTCTGTGAGACATTTTCATGGGTAGGGACGTCTATAGCTGACACATGTGGCGGAAATGATAAAGACGGAAAATCCATAAATACCACGATGCCCCTGGTGTATGGTCAATTCTTCTCTGTGTAGAACGTCTGGAATGAAGTTGTTCTTTTGTCCTTCGGTCTAGGTCATCCTAACTGCGGTGACGCCCTTATCTTCATAACGAAACTTATAATTGTTTTGTGGTAAAAACACGAGAAAGTGTTTAAACAAAATGAGAATCTTTGAACCGCGACGGGGGCCGACATCGTCTACCAGATATCGTTGACCCAGTGTTGACGGCACACTCCAAAGAAGCCACGTAACAAGCTTCACTGGGTCAGTCTACTGAGGAAGACCAGAGTGACTGGTCGAAAGCTCTAGGAGAGAGAATTTTTTGTGTTGTACCAAAAGCTTTAACTTTAAACAAAATGAGAATTGATGAAGATTTACCATGTGACAATCACCTCTTCCAGATATCAAACTTGGGACCACACTGTAAGGTTTGAACCACTCACACTGGGAAGTACCCTGCTCTTTTCGATAAGTATGGTGGGTTCTTTGAAGTGCTCAAGGTGTGGTTTCCTTAAACACGGGACCTTCGGCTTTACGTTCCACCTAAGAAGATTCCCCTAACCGAAGCTAGTTTGGCATTTTACAAGTCAAGTGAGGAACTAGGTGTAAACTGCCTTTCCCAGGAGGACAAAGATGGAGCCTGCCATGGATTCGAACCCAGAACCTTCAGATTCGAAGTCAAATACCCTAACCACAAGTCAACCTTTCCACTTCAAAGTATTTCTTAAACAGTTTGCAAGTACTACCAGCACAGAATACGAAAATCTGTTTTAAGCCATGAGAAAGATTGACATTTATGAGGGGTAAATTCATAACCTAGCCACGTCCGAATATTTCTAATGTCACTGGCATTATAGATGATTATGATAACAATGGAATTAATAGTGTTGCTCTACCTTGTGGCCAGTGTACCCAAAAACTAATCACTTTGCTGTTATCCTCCTAGTGCAGATTTGATTTACCCAACTCTACAATTGCAATCTGATAACTATCGATCTATCACTTCTTCTTCTTCTTCTTTACTCATCCTCTTCTGAGGTGCAGCGCGTGAAGTTCTATCCCTTATGATCAATATAGTAATTATATTGCCTATTATATCTGTGATTATTTATATGTTCAAAGGGAGACACATTTTTTCACTGCACCCTATATGAATATTCAATCGCTATTCAAGACATAACACTTAGACAAGAGATGCAACAAAATGTCAAAGAAGGACGATTTCAAAAAATTACCTTAGCCTAATTTCATGTAGGAAATGATCGTATTTTGGACAAATTATGCAGTTATGTTTTCCACAAATGTGGTGAATCGTCATATTTACAAATACCAGGTGTAGGTTAAACCTGTGTCGATGTCCTTATTGAATTTCTGCTACAAAAATGTGTATTTGGTAAAATTTTTCTGTTCTTAAATTGTCACTTGCCTCCTGTGTGAAGTAAAGACATGATTTACCATGTTTCCAGGATTTGAATCGTGTGTTCTTTTTTTGTTTTCTGGATACTTTTATTATATCCCCTTGAGGCAGCCACATACAAACCATATAAGAAATTCCTACCACAAGAACGCCCACACATGACCTTTCGCCATTTTAAAAGCAACCATTCGCTTTAGTCAAATCAATTAATATTATTAAAGCCTTATATATCATAATATGTTAGGACTGTAGGGGTCCGAATCTCATAATTGACGTCGTGTATTTTTATATATCCTGTTATCTCTAACGCCTCAAGATCTGGAAGCTGATTTAGTCTAAATAAGACTTGAGAGAGACTCGGCATGCTGGTTTCTTTTGTCACCACCGAAATAAAACTTTCTTTAAAACGCAGGTGGAAGAATAGAGGCAACTGTATTTCCTAAAATGGTAAAATTAGTGTAAAGTTGTTTTTTTACGTCGAGGTCATATTGATCGTACGTTGCTCATTCTTTCCCTCATTGCTCATTCTTTCCTTCATTGCTTTCGTCTCAATAACAAGACAATTCACCAGTAGTGTTATAGTATCTAGCTAGATTCTACGTGGTAACCACATATCGTGTATAGATTTTAATTGTGAAATCGTTTTCGAAATGTTTTAATAGTGTGCTTGCTACGTTTTATGTGTACAATGAAAGAGTGTACTAGATTATTGTTTTAATGCGTAATTATGTACGTATGTAATAATGACAAAATTCGGGTATCAGCCCACGTGAGCCTTACCGATTAAAGTTTGAATTTGAATTGTGCGATTTTGAAAATTTCTAAGCTTAGCCTCAACGCCGAAAAGAAGAGTGTATGCACTGAAAAGAAAATAATGGCAAAACAGCAATACTAACAAAACAGTAACAATCCATGTAGATTGTAAGAGAACAAACAAAAGATAACCATTTAAGACGGTCATTTCCGTAAGACACGTACATTTGCAGTACTGGTGCAATGGCCAAGTGAGTAGAGTGTTCGTCTTGCATTCGTTCGGTCCTCAGTTCTATCCCCTGCCGAGTCATACCGAAAAATAGTACTTTATTGCTTTCTCTGCTTAGCACTTAGGCCACACCGTCTTAATTTTATGGATAACATCCTCTGAAGACCCTCAAACTAGTGCGCGTGGGCGAATAAAAAAAATTCCGACCAAAAATAAAAATGGTACTAAACCACAGAAATACAAGGCAGGTATTGTGAATTCGCGGCAGTACTTAGTGACGTATACAACAAGCCGGTACATGCTGGCTTTTTGCGGAATGTATCATAATATTAATCGGCACGCACGGTACGTATGCTCTGAGTTTTTGAGTCGTGGAGCTTCGGTCGCCTGGATGCCCGGCTCCGTATTTTCGCTAATTACCATGAACTACCCAGGCCTTAGAGCCAGGCCAGAGCCTCGGTGGACGTGATTTTTTTTTCTAGAACAGGCAAAAATCAATGCGCGAGCGGATGTCACCCATCAAATAAAGTCAGTGTGGCCTTACAAAGGGGAATTCAGGAAGCTAAGGATCTCATACTTCTGTTGTTTGCTTGTGCAGTCATGTGAGTCTATATGCTCAGACCATCCCCTTTTGAAGACCGTCTATTAACGGCATAGCAACGTGTATTTATGAAGGGCATGTTTTCAGTGCGGGCACCCGGTTGTAAAGTGTAGGCAATCACTATAAGTCTTTGAAGATATGAATATTGTTCTTTGAGATGTAAAACCATACTTTCATGGGGATTCATACAAAAATACTTTGTATGCAGTTATACTGTTGCTCATCACACATCGTCACATACATAGGGAGCGTCTTGATGATTGTGTAGTGCAGCATGTTGCTTGATTATGTTTCCCCTATGATAGGTAATGGCCATTAGAGAAATCAAATACATCGCCGACAAAGACAGACTCGTCTGAAATGATAATGGTATTGCCTGCAACTGCTACACACCCGGGAGATGCTAAACTATATCATGAAGCAACCGAGGATAAGTATGATCTACAGGTAATCTTCTAATCTTTTGTAATTAAGAGATTGGTAGTTTTCTTGAGTGTATTGTATTGCAATTTGAAGTCTTTATGTAAGTGGCTATGTGGAACAATATTATTGTGACAAACTCATGCAATCTAAGGAAGAGGCATTTGTGCCTTTCTCTGCCAATGTGAGGTTGAATTTGTGAGAAATGAAAGAGTTCTTGCCTGGTAGATTTGACTCCATAAGGTGTGTGGGGAGGGGGGCATCTGTTGTGACAATCATATGTAAAGTTACACTTAGGGTTTAAGCTACAAGATGACAGCACGCAAACAAAACTATTTGCATAAATATATAAGTCCAAAAGTATTTTGAGCAAAGTGGAAATTTTACGAAAAGGACATTCAGTTTTCATTCAAAATGTAGAATTTGTGGGTAAACACTTGCCAAAAACCTTCAAGCTGATATTATAACTCTATTTCACTTCGATAGCGGCCACTCTATACTGTATCAAAGTGTACAATCGTTATATTTTATATACCACTACGGTTAGGAAGGTTACCATTGAGCATATCTACTACCGCAATTTAGGCTACAATTTCTCAAATCGCATATAACATTATGTTAAATAATGTTGTGATCAAACGTCAGAATTAGGACATAAAGGCAATGATACTGGTAATACTCTATGTTCTATGTTATTTTAACTTTCCAATAATTAAAGATTATATACTAGAAGTCTATCATTTCTAATGAGTTGCTGCATACATGTATTAATTAGATAAGAAACAAATACAAACGCTGTGCCTTCATCTACAACAGTTTATTATTCATGAACCTTACTTTGGTGGACAGAGTCATAAACGTTACTTCAGCTTGTTTAAAAGACTTATCTAAGTACTTGAGTTGCTGAAGTAACTTTGTTGTTAGTTTACGTCTTGACTTCGTAACGACTTGAAATCTTGTCTTCGCATTTTATATGACTGGACGCCAAAGGAAGATATTTAACAGCAGACTGCAGACCTCTTACACGTTTGGTGTTTGTATCTGTTTTTTTCATGTTGCTATACTACCAGACTCATACCTGCAATCTTAAATATAGCGCTTTTAACATCTTGATTATATATGCTTATACATAACAAGCTGAAGTCTAGCTTTTTCACGAACATTGTCGACCTTTTTTTCATCTTAAAAGCTTTGCAATGATACACTGGAAGACAGGTTTGCAATTGTGCACTGGACTGGAAGACAATAGTGATAAGGGTGTTTCGCAACCACATTTAGACTAGAATTAGACTGTAGACGAAGTTCTGTATTAATTGGAATGTTCGTTGTATCGTTTGTACACAGATACTGCGATAAATATTCGTTTACATATTATATCGTTATCATGAAATATCTAATTTAATCTCGTTGTTGGTCATTCATGTAAATCAATCATTGCATTGCATCTACAGAAGATGTTGTTTTGATTATTATTTTTCTATGAATCCTCGTAATGTTAACGTGTACAATTGACTAGAATGAGATTTGTATACTGGACTGCTAAAATCAATTCTTTACGTATGCTTTAAAGCACGCTTAAAGGGTTCTTTAACCCTTTACGCATGCTTTAAGACATGCTATAAGATATGATTTCGTGCAGTTCTATGCCTATGTCTATCCTGGTCTAATAAGGAGCTAGAATGTATGGTCGCACTGTGCTGGTTCATTGTTGAAACAGTCAAATTCAGTCATATCCTCTTCAATAGATTTCCTTCCGCAAGCAAAAATACTGTTTTGATGGAAGCGTAGTAGTTATGCGTAAGTCCTTTAGTACTCATGAACTCTCGGCGATGTCGCGGTAGGTTCCGGCGGTAGTTCAGCAGCTCATGGCCGTTGCCGGCATCTTCCAGTAGAACCTGGCACAGCCCTTGGCTCTCCTGATCATCCCCCGCTTGTCGCTCGGCGGGAGGAGCTCCAGTTGCCGCTGCTCCTGCGGGGACAGGTCCTGGCCCTTGGCGTAAGCCTCCACCAACTTCCTCAGCAGCTGCTTCTTCAGAAGAGTCACCTGGAATTCAGTCTGGTAGAGAAGGGAACGATGTTAAAATAACCAATTGAATGAATAAATAAGTGAATGAATGAAGACTTTCTTTGTACTTTCATACCTACAAAGTCACAGCAAAAGAATGGCTTGTATATACAAATATACAAAACATTATGAGACTATCACTACCAGTTTTAGATATTAGTCTTCTAACTACACTTTGATGTTAAAAAAGCAAGAATGGGCAAGTTTTTGGATTAGATATTTTTCTAGGCTTACAATCATGAGATGGTCAATTACTAGACGATTAGCAACAGGCAAATGTGCATTTCAGGTATTTCTGATAAATTTGATTGTTTGCTTGATTACTATCAATCATTAATTAAAGAATACCAGAATACATATGAAGTAACAATACGGTACTTGTGTGACATAAAGAATACTCTAGACTCACAATGTAGAGTCGTACCAAAATAGAACACCACCACACAATTAGAGCTACAATGCTGAACATTGTCAAAGAAATATTACATTAGAAATACCGCATCCCGATTAGTAAATGGTATCAGAGTACCACATTTACAATCACATAATGGCAGTTTTAAGTGTGACATGAATATTACTGAAAAGAACCTTATAAGACACAGAATCACAGCCTAGCACTGTACAACAACAGCACAGCACTGCACAATTGGACTACACAGGACCCCCAAAACGTCTAATCTATTACGTCACAAGAGTACCATCACCAATGTCCAACCAGAGGAAAGACGACCACCAAATACAGAAACGTTCACAATATTTGGTGTAACATTTAACCATAGAAATGACTTACTTTGAACTCAGGTTTGGGAAATCAGACAGCTCCCCTACCTTAAACCTTTATTTATTCTGCCCCTCTGAAACATGCATAGCATAATGAAATTGTCGTTGTTGTAGTCGTTGCTTAATTTCTTCGCCCTTGTTTCGTAGTCTATAGAGCAGGTTTTCATCATCAAGACTTAGCTTACAAGAATATAATTCAAACGTGCATCACAATACAAGACACAAGTTGTTTTTGTAAAATAATAATCTGATTTAAAGTTTGTTTCCTCTTATAGTGGTGACCATGAAAAAGTATAATTCACTTTAATTGGTACTTTGGATTTTTTAAAAAATATCGTTTTAAAGATGAATTGTAAATCATTTAAAAGAAGATTTCTTGCTTTTTGGGTCAATTCTAATAAATGGCACCCAGCAGCAGCATGTAGATTTTTGAATGCATTTGCACCAATACCGACAAGCCTGCAGTTTTACATGGTTAAACATTACTTCTTAGATTACTTGAGTTAAAGTCTAAAACAAGTGTCAAACCCTGCCTACTGACTCTAATTCTTTAACAACACCGGATATCAAAAGCATAGCATTAAACGTTCCTAAATAAGTGCTACTTAAAGTACTAAGTGACCCAGATATTAGACCTAATGCACTTTCTACTATAGTCTCAGTAATAGTCCTCAAACCATTTGTTTGAAGAGCATATCAAAAACCACTTGTGTTAAACTGTAGACATATTTACATATAAGCCATAATCACTTCAATATGTTCGCCTTCCATTTTGATTTAAGGTCTATTTCTTTAACACAGGGTTCAGCAAATGTGTTCAGACACACTGTTACTGGAAACACAAGAGTGGAATTTCGTTGTCCATAGCTATTTCATGTGACTAGTCCCGTGGGCTAAATGACTCCTCATTACGCAATCCTATCAAAAGCTAATTAATTAGTTTTACACATCAGCTCTCCCAAAGCCTGCCCTGCTCAATTACACTTTGTCATCGATCCCGTCACCGCTATTAGCAGAAGAAATGGGTTTTAAGATTTGCCCCTTATTTGGTCAAGGGGACTTTATTTATTAAAATTCCATTTCCTCTTAAGCTGTAATTTCTGCGAAGTGAAATCCTGATCATTGTTAATCTTTTCCCAAACAAAAAGGTGTGAGTCTAAGTGCTGATTTCCATTAAATTTACTTTCCTTTAGAGGGGGAAGAACGAGGCAAAACATCGTTTTTCTGGTACTGATAGGATCTGTGTGTGTTTATTGGAGTCATCTGGGCAACACAACTTCGTTTAATTCAAGACCCTGTGGAGAATATGGCCTTTTGAACATTGTCGAGATTCCCCGGACCATGGTTAGGAGAAACTTGCAATTGGCTCTGGTTGGCTCAGGTGTTCTGTGAGGCCGGCTTCTGTTCGGCTACACCAGCCAAATGTTTTAAAATGTTTACAACATTTCAATGGCTTTACTATGTTTTCGGGACTAGTTGACTAGATGTTGAGAAGAGGTCAGTAGTGGTTGGATCTTGCTGGCAGTGGTTAAATTTGACTCACATTTGACTAAAATTCGATTCATGTACAGAGACATGCGTGGGCTAACTCTGGCCAGGCTGCCTCTGATCTTCAGCCAATATTTGTTGGTTGGTTGGTTGGTTGGTTGGTTAGTTGGTTGGTTGTGTTGGTTGGTTAGAATGTGTAACGTGGGGCTTCAAACACGAGAATCTTATCATTCCTCCACTTAACCCTAAAAAGCCTTGACAGGACAATTTGCCGGACAATTTGAAGGTGTCAGGGCATGACCAAAACCTAATCGTGTTTCTGACTAGTGTTGGCCAGGTTAAATACGGCACATTTGCCATGATTTGTGTATTACTTCAGAAAATACAAATGTTGTTTTAAATGGCTTTCTTTCCAAAAAGCAGGTTAACAGAACATGGGTTGTGGAAAGATTGACAGGCAGAATGGCAAGAAATCAGACAATGGAAGTAAGGTCTTAGCATATGGTCAGAAGCTAAGCAGAAACAAATGATAGACGCGGAGAAATTAAAGATTCCCTACCTTCCGGCGGTCTGAAATATTATTATGATTTTTTTTCAAAGAACGCTAGGGGGATTGGTATAAAGCAGATAAAATACTAAAATGTAACATAGCGGCACAACTTTGAATATCTCAAGTATTATGGGTTATTATTAAATCATTCACGTTAATTTGTTGCTTCTGGCATTGAGAGTCTGAAGCTCATTGCTTTTATGTAAATGTATTGCCACCTAGTCAATCGCACGTTAAAGACTTGGTGTCTAGACTTCTTGCATAATTTCCTGCTGAAGGTTCTGGATTCTCTTATCTGCAAAACCGGAGACGCCATATATATCAAGGCGGTGCAAATTACTCGTCTTTGGTAACAATAGGTTCAACAGGTTAGATATAGAAACAATGGGAACAAATGAATTCTTTCTGCCGTAAAACTAAGAAAAATGTACGTCGCACTCTTCTTACAGAATTTAGATAAATAACTTTTTTCTGTTTAAGTTTGCACCACGTAATTTTACCAGGTACTGTTTTTAAAGATCTCAAGAAAAATTTAGTGCTTATATTCCTGGACAAAATCATAAATAACTTTCGGAATAATTTGTAATGTAAAACAATGTAACTGTTCAGAAAATGTAACTAAAATGATTATTTAAAATACAAAGGGATACAACCAATTATATGGCATACCAACAAATTATTTGAATAAATGATAAAGAATTAAAAAAAGACATGAGCGAAAAGGGCCATTCAATTGCAATATGGTTTATTGTCCTTCTTTGAAGCACGCACACATGCAATATAACAAACAATAATGAATACTAATGGAGGCTAGAAATATCGGATACAAATTACTGCCCGAGGGAGTTTCTAGCCTAAAAGTATTTTTACCAAAAGAAAATGCTCATATTCTTATGAAATCTAGAGATAGACCCCCATAGGTGTACTTGAAAGAAGGCCTCATTTCTGATAGTGCCTGTTTCTTTTGTGTAGAATTTCAAGGCACAGATAGTCCAAAAATAAAGTATTATTCTACGTACAACAGTTACTTGAAAAATGAGAAACTTTTCTCCAGATTTCTTGTCTTACAAGTCGATATATATATATATATATGGTCTTCATAAACGGGCTAAATGCTGGAGCTTTCTTTGATTTCTATTTACTTCCAAATCTTTTATTCCAAACTTTATTGAATTTATTTAATATTGCATTTATCATAATCGTTTGTTTGTCACCAAAATAACACGGAACAGAAAGGGCAGATTTACTAAACCTTCTACATCCGCCCTTTTTATTATGATTTCTCACAGAAAATCATACTTTTGTCTTTCTACATATAAAGAAACGTGCGTGATTTTAAAGAAAAGAAGAAGTGTCTGAAGTGACATCCCAGCGCAAAGACAGTTGTTGGATGTTGTTGGTTCCGCCTTTAGAACATGCAGTGGTGCCCCTTCCAGTACATGCATTTGATATGGCGGAGCTTCTTGCCTGACTTGCTTCTTCTCTTCTCGAGCATGCTTGCGGGGTCGGCGGTGGCATGCTTCAGGGCCAGGAGCTTCATCATGTACCACCTGGTAAGCGGGTCGTCAGCCTCTTCATAGGGCTGTTATAAAAATATAACATGCAACATTGCAAGCTTAACCATGCAAACACCATGCACATGCAAGCTGTATATGCTTCATACAACATGCCGATTCAAGCTGGTCTTCTGTGTCTGCTTTTGCATAATACTTAAGTCGCTTTCGTAAGGCATTTCAAATGTCTGATGATAATTGATTTTTGTTGGAAGACCATGTCAGTGGTTTATGCAACTTACAAATTTGAAGGAAAGTAACACATGCAACTGGTGGTATAGATCCAGAGTCGGAGGAAAACTATCCGATCAAAAGAAAGGTCTGATTGAAAAAACATGTATGCATTGTGCATTCATGATAATTTTACATATCTTTTTTACTTATTTTTTTTGTGTGATCAGACCTTTTTCAGACAAAAGAAGTCCAGCTTAATCTTCAGTTTCCATATTGCTCAAATATTCTAACAAACCAAACCGCATCGCAAGCACTCTGAATCAAATGAAATATCATTGCCATTCCAAAACAGAAGTAATATTTTTAACAATCATAATCCATTTGGAATTGATAAGACAATAACGTAAAGAGTAAAACGTAACATGCATAAATATATGTGCAGCAAT